CTCTCCGCTCGCTCTCTCTCTCTCTCTCTCATCTCAAAGAAATTTTGATGATCATCTTTTCTCTCGTACAAATCCATTACCATTCACATGTTGCTGGTTTATCTCAAATACATGTCACGCCTTCTCATTTCAATCTCTGTCCTGTGACATGATATATTTTCAGTCGGAGACTTGATATGAACACCGTTCCATTTTGTTCCTTCCTTCGTCCTAGCTAGAGCTTCATACTACGAGTGCTAGCCTCTTCTTCTGAGCGTTTTAATTCACAAGTCACAAGTCATTGAGAGGGAGGAAAAAAACAAGACTTGGGTCTTGTTCTTAGTTTTGGCATACGCTTTCGGTTTTGAGAGCTTCATGGGCCCGTAGAGGTTTATTAGAAAGGATGCAAAAGAATCAGCCATGGGTTGCTCTGCTGAAGATTTGGTAGCGTGGAGAGATTTCCCCAAAGGTCTCAGAGTCCTGCTGCTTGATGAAGATGCCACCTCTGCTGCTCAAACTAAGCTGAAGCTTGAAGCAATGGACTATATTGGTATTAAAAATCTTCAAACTTCTTCTAAGCTTTCAGCCCTTCTTTGGGTATTTTCTTTGTTGGATTTAGATGCATGCATGTTTCCTCATTTAATTATTACCTGAGAATTACAAACGTTTGGTGAATTGCTTGTAAAATACACACAGATTACGAAACTATTAGTATCAAATGACTCATCTCACACGCGCACAGCGTGGTTTAATTAAAAAAAAAAAAACAAAGCCTACATGCAAGATCTCATGAGTAAATAGCATGATTCAGACAAGTCCAAATTGCTAGAACTGATATTGGAAGTTGTAGAAGAGAATATATATATAGATGGTTTCCGTAGCCTTAATCAATCTTTGATCTAGCTAGTTCCAACATGCACTAGTGTTTTTGTGTTTAGAGAGGAAAATGATGGGCTAAGCTTATCATTCTATTCCTTTCTCTAGACTGTTGTCCCGTCTACAGTTCCTAAAAACTACTTCGGAGCATTGCTTTCTTTGTGATGCATTTGGTGAAAAGGGATGAGGAACTACTCTTGTTGGAGTACGGAATAATAATCCATCAACCCCTTCAGGGTTTCGGTGTAGTGGCGTGGTCTTTTGACATGGTACCAGATCAAGTTCAAGTTTTACTAAATTGATGGTGCTTTGATAAAAGTTGGATCTCTCGAGGACCTTGTTTCGGAAAAACTCGGTCCACGTTCACCCAGTTTTTCCTAGGCAAAAAAGCCCCATGGGACTAGTTCTGTCTTGATCCACCTCCTGAGGATCAAAACAGGACCATATTATCTCAAAATTGGGGCCGGTATCGATCTTGGCCCAATTTTGACGAGTTTGCCAAACTTATCCTTAGGGTTGAATATCAACTCTACTAAGGTTGAGCCCTATCAATCTCATGATAAGAACAGCTGCCTTATAAATACAATTGCGATAGGAAATAATTTAGTATGTATAGATATCTTATATTTTCTACAGATGCTTAGTATGGTTCTACTTGCAAATATGTTCATGTAACGACTTCTGATTAATAATGTTTACCTGCGAGATACAACACTATGGATTGGAGGTTTTTTCAAGTATCTTCAGTGAATGCCTGACATTTTACCAGTTTCTGAATGCTGACATATTTTTTCCCCAGAAATACCTCTTTTTAAAATACGGAACTAGTTTGTGTGATTTGTTCGGAAGATCTTACTTTCTCTCTGCTTTTCAAAGTTGCTATAATGCATCTCTTCCTTCGTTCTTTTTTGCTTTTCAAGGATGATGAGAAGGATGCTGCATTGCCATTTATCAGGAAGCATAATAAAAATAGCTTTATATTTCTGTTTTCAGTTTGTTATTGTGAACTTTTCCGTGACATAGTACTTAAGTATGTACTTTTTTTTAAAAATACTGCTTCCAACGTTCTCTTTAATCTGTCCAGTTTGTTCATACCGCAATGAGAATGAAGCATTGGAAGCGATTTCTATGAAGGCGGAAAGCTTTCATGTTGCAATTGTAGAGGTAATGCTTATATTGGAGATTAATTAACACATGTTTATAGAGAACGACCCTTAGCTATATATATCTTGAATGTTATTTTCTTGTAGGTGACTTCTTCTAATAGTCAAGGAAGCTTCAAATTTATTGAAATGGCTAAGGACCTTCCTGTCATAGGTAAATAGTTATGCTTCTGACACCTATTTCACTGAGCTCGTATATAATGTTTTTATGCTATATTCTATTTATCCATTTGTTTTCCCATCAAATTCACAAATTAATGACGTCGCGTTTCATCTGTCCTTGCACCTTGAAAGCCTTGATGTTTTTAATTTCAGGAAAATTTCTATGGCTGGAATTTGTATCTCGTCAGATGAAATGTCCTTCTCTGCATTATAAACAATATAATCAAATTAGTATAAAATTATTGACGAGTATTATTTTGTCTATTACAGCTATCTCTGATGTTCGTTGTCTGAGCACCATGATGAAATGTATATCAGTAAGTTCCTCACAAACTTCATGAGATTAAATATCCCTGTAATTATTTTGATAAATATTTCATTTCTTTTATTTTTCAGCTTGGTGCAGCTGAGTTTCTTCAGAAACCACTATCTGAAGAAAAACTCAGAAACATATGGCAGCATGTAGTTCATAAGGTTCGCTTTTTATGCTGCATTTACAACTTAATGTTTTCTTATGGATTGAAACTAAGAAAGTTTCTTAGCCCTGAACAGGCCTTTAACGCAGGGGGAAACGACATCTCAAAATCGTTGGAGCCAATAAAAGATACTGTTGTTTCAATGCTTCAGCTTCAGTCAAATACTGAGAGGGAAACTTCGGAGAAAGATCAAGAAACTAAACAAGACAGTTCGGAAGAAAGCGACAGGTTTCAAGCACCGTCAACTCCACAATTGGTTACAGGAGGAAAGGACGATGAATATTTCCAAGACCCAGTAACCCACACGAAAGATAATTTGGACAATTCCACAGACTTGATTGAAGTAAGAAAATATAGTCATTCTAAATCAAAACCCGTCGACATTACAACCAGTAGTTTGCCAAATTTAGATAGTAGTAGAGAGGACGAAATGATTTCTCGTCACATAGAGGAGGAGGTAACCTCAGATAACGGTTCTAAAACTGATGAATGCAGTTCTATTAAAGACAGCTGTGAGCCTTCTTTGCATATGAACAAGGGTGGTAATATGGAATCCAGTGTGGAGGAGCACAAGAAAAAGAAATCATTTCTTCGCAGTAGTTCAACTTCACATAGCAACAAGGGTGATCGGAGAAAGACAAAGGTGACAAGTAATCTACGCCCATGAAATTATGTTACACCGTCAATCTAACCTGTATTGCTTTATTCTAACTTCAATAATTTTTGGGTAAATTTCACGACCCTTTCCAAGTTTGATTATTTGAATTCCCAACTTTGAGAGGTTTTTGCACATAACCCCCCGAACTTTTTCACTAAACCGTTGATTGTATTTAACACCCCCCTTATAGTAATATCGTCAAATCTAACCTGTCAGGTGATGAAAAAGACGAAATGTTAAAGTACCCCTGAGTCCTGAAAAGCAATGGAAACAATAAAAGAATAAAAGGGTGGTTTTTAGGGCCTAAAAGTATTTTCTTCTTCTTTGGTTATGTGCTTGGCAAGCCACATGTTAGACTTGATGGAGTCACTTTGGAGGGTTATAGTGAAATTCTTTTAGGAGTTTAGTGCAATAGAGGAAGTTTAGGGGGGGCTATATGCAAAATCCCTCAAGTTAAGGGGTTTTTCCAAAAGTAAAGTAGTTAAGAGGGTGTTATCTCAAAATGGAGAAATTACGGGGGGGTTTTGTGAAATGTACCCTAGTTTTTGTTAATCATCATCAAGATGGGTGGATTGATGCCTTTCAAATATAATTAAGTGTTTAAGAGAATTTTGTTGCCAATTTAGGTCGATTGGACACCTGATCTTCATAGAAGATTTGTTCAGGCTGTTGAACAACTTGGGATTGATCAAGCTATCCCTTCCAAGATTCTAGAGTTGATGAAAGTAGAAGGCTTAACGAGGCATAATATAGCCAGTCATCTACAGGTGAACACATATCATTTATTCACTTATTTTGTTTGCCTTGTTAGGTATCTCATTTCATTTATAAATAAAGTTATATATATATATATATATATATATATATATATATATATATATATATATATATATATATATATAACTTAAGTGGACGTCCACTGAGTTTCTTATTCATTGATGATTACTTGATTGAGCTACATTGTGGATGATCCGCTCCGTTAAACTGATCTACATATTCTAAAAACCCAACACGCCAAATTTGGTGTGAACTCGTTGTGGTTTGACCCTCCGTCGAGCCATGTAAAAAGTTCTATTCACTCGAAACCGTTAAAATTGATACGAGTGGATGAAGGGTCAAACTACAACGGGTTCACCCCAAATTTGGTGTGTTGGGGTTTTAGAATGTAGATCAAGTTGAACGGAACGGATCATCCACAATGTAGCTCAATCAAGTGATCATCAATGGATAAAAAACTTAGTGGACGTCCACTTAAGTTGACAGAATTTTGCTCATATATATATATATATATATATATATAATATATATATTATATTATATATATTATATATAGCAAAACTTCTGTCAACTTAAGTGGACGTCCACTAAGTTTCTTAATCCATTGATGATTACTTGATTGAGCTACATTGTGGATGATCCGCTCTGTTAAACTTGATCTACATATTCTAAAACCCCAACACACCAAATTTGGTGTGAACTCGTTGTGGTTTGACCCTCCGTCGAGCCATGTAAAAAGTTCTATTCACTCGAAACATATATATATATATATATATATATATATATATATATATAGAGAGGAGAGAGAGAGGAGAGAGAGAGAGAGAGAGAGAAATTGGGTATGCTTGGTACCAGCACACAAAAGTTATGCTTTGTAGTGAGGTGGCACAATCCCCTCTACTCATTCAAATGGTTGCATATCCCATGCACTCCTCAACCCATATGAATATGGTCCCCTATTTTGGATGAGTGGATGTGATGTGCCACCTCTACTACAGCCACACAAATTTGTGCTTGGTACCAAGCATACCCATATATATATATATATATATATATATATATATATATATATATATATATATAATATATATATATATATATATATAGATATATTATATATATATATCATGATTAATTCTTTCTCTGGGCCTGTTTTAGTTCTATGAAACATGGAAACTGAAGTGAGACACAAACAAGTTACAACTTGGAACCTTTATGAAAAGTAAACTCTTACAAGTATGAAATTATATCCCCCTACGTTTTAGTGTGGAAATCCCTCTCTTTTACTTCCTTTCTTCCATTTTATCCCCTTTGCCAAACCAAGCTCGTGTTGATATTTATAAGGTAACTGTTATGATTTCCACAATCTGTGCAACTCCTTTCGTTGTGACATTGTAAACATTCCCTCCCATTTGTATAGAGAACATCAGCCTACCTGTATAGGAACAAATGATTTTTTTTCTCTGAAGTATAATTACTAGGGATGTAAAATGGATATGGATATTCACAGATATATTCATATTTGTATCTGATGTATGAATATGGATACCAGACACTGATATGGAAGAGAATATATAGATCCAGATCTGAATATCTATGTACATAATGACGCGTCGTAGAATTGAAAAAACTCAAAATCCACCAAGGGGCTCTTTGAATCCAGGAAGAAATATGACTTTTGAATCTACAAAGAATTTCAAATCCATTAAAAATGTGAAGAGATGAATATTATTAATAAAAAGTAATATTCCAATCATCTGCATAAATAATAAAAAAACAAAGCAGACTTCTAATAATACAAAAATTATCAAATATAGAAGGTATCAAAACTACCCTAAAAAGACTCCCTATGATTGAGAAAACTAATCAGTCAAATATGAAATCAAACTAGATTCATTTCCTAATTCAGACAGTGTGACACCCCCACTTTAGTCCCACATAAACTAGTGTGTAGAAATGTTAATGGTTTAAATAGAGAAAACCCAAGGTCCAAGAATAACTAGTGCTAGCATTTTGGCGATGGATTTAAACCAACATCAAGTTGCTTTCGGTGGGTTCCACGGCTTGCACGCACCAATGGGCCCATTGGCCCGGGACATGTCAAATGGTATCGGAGCCATTTCCAACCGGAAGTATGGAGCTGAGTGCTATACGAGACTAAGTGCTACACCGCATGGATGCGGTGGGAGTCACCTCTAGAGCCCGTAGGATCCACCTCTAGAGTCCACATCACCTGGCAGTGATACTGGGATGTGCCAATTGTCACGTCGTAACGACGATGACGTCGTCTTTGTAAGGTGTGGTGATTGTGACATCCCCACTTTAGTCCCACATGGACTAGTGTGAAGAAATGTTAATGGTTTAAATAGAGAAAAACCCAAGGTCCAAGAACATCTAGTGCTGCCATTTTGGCGGTGGATTTAAACCAACATCGAGTTGCTCTCGGTGGGTTTCACGGCTTGCATGTGCCAATGAGCCATGGGCCCGGGACATGACAGACAGACTCCTACATCATTACCAAAAATAGCAGAAAATGTTAAAGAGTCTGATATCTCTCAATCCGGAAGAAATTTTCTTAATTCTGATGGTGGCAGATTGGCTTAATCTTGGAAAAAAAATATGTATGATTTTCATATGCTATTTTTCTGATCCTGACTTACGGATTAGGAAATAAGACTCGTTCTTTGTTGCAATGCCTATCCAGCTTCTCCATGAACATCCGCAATGTGTTCTACTTCATATAATGATATTACGGTTGAAATTGCTTTGACCATTTGATCAATGGATTAGAGATCCACATTGATGATCCAATGATCTATCACGGCTTGCGAGATATGTCAAATATGTTAGTGGACTCTCGTTTGAAAATTTTATTATAGCTAAACATCTCTTGTATCACATGACTTGTATACTTTTCAATCTTGTACATATCCATTTCGTATCCGAATATATTTCCTCTTAGCCTCTGTTTCTATATTCAAATTTTGTGGATATGAATATGAGTTCCCTTGCAGAGACGTATCTGTATTCATATAGGTATACGTGATCGGTAAGTGGCTAAGGATACGGTAAGTAACGTACCTGATCAATTTGCACCCCTAATGATTATTCAAAGTTCATTTCCTGTTCTTTAGTATACTTGACGTACTATCCCCAGTATGGGTTTTCCATTTGACTTACTGATAATAGCTTACTCACCCACCCGCCCATGCACACATGCACACATGCACAGGGGATCAGTTATATCAGCATGAAGTAGAGATATGTAAAACAGAACATTTTTTGTTTTGTTCGTAATATAAAAAACAAACTAAACTTTCTTATTTGCAGAAATATCGGATGCATAAAAGACACATTTTACCAAAAGACGACGCAAGGTGGAAGTTGCATAGGGATTCCATTCCAAGGGGTTACATGCAAAAACCAGTAGTGGTAATTCCTCCTTTCCATTCCAGCTATGGTCTTCCCTCAAGTCAGGTTTATCCATTCTGGGGCCATCCCAACTATTATACCCCTGGCTTCCCATCATGGCATCCACCTCAAGGAAATTGGCTATGGAAAGCTCGTCCTGGGGTAATCATCTATAATCGACCATTTGATATCACTCATTCTTTATGATGCTCTTCATCATATTTCTACGTACGTAGGATTATTTAGATATTAGTCCTTCACATCTTCAGTAATTCCACAAACATTTAAAATTGTCCATACGCCCCTCAAGTTCTAAGGGTTCCTTCAAATGGACACTCAAGTAAACTAATGACAGATCTGAGGGGAATATTCCCTCCAATCTAACATTTTGAGGGGAATTTTCCAGTTATATCCTGCAGTTAGGTTTACCATCTTGTTTCTTAACTGGTTTTAACGCAAACCTGCTAACCGAAAACCCAAAGGCCACAAGCATCATCTTTTTCAAGGGTAAATACTCCCTCTAAACCCGTTTTTGAGCTTTTCCAATGATGATGTCTAATCTTCCCCAATGTTTTTTTTTTTTTTTTGGGGGGGGGGGGGGGGGGGATATCGATAAAGAGTTAACCCAACCATGGTTCCAAGATCAAACAGAAAGGCTGACAAGAGACCAATTTGCAAAAGCCCTCAAGATTTGACAGACTCATGAGAAAAGTTCAAAGATTAGAGCGATTAATATGGAACTAGTGAAGACTGAAAGGACTACTATCTAAATAACCCTTTTAAGTGGATATGTGCAATAAATCTCAGTGCATGTTATGTGCCAGGTGCATGCTGATGCCTGGGGTTGCCCTGTTGTGCCACCTTATAGCCAATTTTCCATGCCCCCACAGGTGATTTCAGTTCATTGTCAGTTTTTTCAATTACTATGGTTAAAGTGTTTATGCTATGTTTGGTTATAACTTCTGATTGAAAAATGCAGAATACAACTTTATGTAATGGTTGGGATGCTAGTGGAGGTAGAAACAGTGTTTCAAAAGACTCATGTGACTTTAACCTGGTAAATTACTTCTGATCTAATTGCTGTATGCATCCTCAAACTTTATGGATCCTTCACATGAATGTTTTATTAGCTAAGACTATATACTGTTATCTTAACAACAAGAATATGTGCGCGTGCGCGTGTTTATAGAATTACTAATAACTAACTATATCATGTTCTTGTGAGGCAGGCAGACGAAGTGATTGATGAGGTCGTGAAGGAGGCAATGAGCAAACCATGGCTTCCTCTTCCATTAGGCCTCAAACCACCCTCCCTTGATAGCGTCCTCAACGAACTTCAACGTCAAGGAATACGCACAATCCCTCCAATTCCTCGCAGCTGAGCCTCACATGACAGTGCCAGTAAATAAAAACACCAATCTGAGACACTTCTGGTTTTGGTCTTTCTTTTGTAGCTAGATTATCTCTTTGTGTCATTTTGTGTGGGAAATATTTGGAGTATTGAAACAAGTTATGTGGTCAACTATTGAGCCCTGGAGAAGTTAGATGAGAAAATTATGTTTCGATCTATCAGCAATGCCAAATATTTGTGCATAGTTAAATGATCGTAATTTTTTTAGTTTGTTTGAACTAGAAACTCCTTTTTCTCTACCAATCTTTGCACTCATATATATATATAGATTAATGCTAAAATATTTTGTATTTATATTTTTTGGAAAAATGTTGGAGAAACAAAGGATTAAACCAAAAAGATTTCCTTTAGTTTGAGCCTAATTAGGTGCATGTACACTCTTAAATTAAATAAACTTTGTAGTGGGAATTAATTTTTAGAATGTGTTTTAGATCTGGTTCAGAAACTGGATCTGTAATTTAATATAGAAAGATTCGGTTTTGTTCATTGTATTTTATATTCCTAAATCAATTGATGTTTGCACCGTGAAAAGTAAAATAAACATTTTCGTGTAAGTTGAGAAAATGTGGAGAGAAAAATGAATAGATGGGAAAAACGAGGGAAATGGTTAGGAAACGAAGGAAAGGAAACTAGATGTTTCTTTTAACTAGTGAAGTGCACTAGCTGTGCAGGTGGGCATAATTGCGTGGGCATATTTGTAAAACTATTAGTAATATCTTCTATATCAAAATGAAAATCATTTTTATAAAAACTTAGTTCAATATCTAATCTAATATTGATAAATTGTATGCTTAATTTTGTAAATTGTTTATTATTATCCATACAATTATGAAGAGACATGGGCATCATTGACCACTTTCTTATATCAAATATATAAAAAGAAAAAGATAAATCCTCTATCTTTTTTGTTTTCAACAACATTAACTTGACTTGAAGGGTTCATGAACCCTAATTTAAGTATAATATTAATATAGTTAATTATAATATCATATCGTTAGTTTTAAGTAGTAACTATTTATATCATAATTAAATATTCAATTATCTACAATTACTAATATTATTTTAAAATCTTTTTACCAAATATTATATTATTATTTATCAGTATGTATTTTTATTTAAGGTAAAATAATCATACTATATAATTTTATATATTTTAATGTCCATATTTAACCATTAATGGAATATACACCCTATTTTATACAACTAACATAAAATAAGAAATAATTACAAAAGTGAAAAAACAAAAAGTAGAAAAAAGTTACTGACGGTTTTCAAGTATAACTTCCTAGAATAAAATCTTGCAAAGACCTTAACAAAATAACATATGAAGGACTAAAATATGACGAATAAAGAGAAATTATATAAAATGTGTTGGAGTTGTAACTTAAAACTTGACTTTGTAGTGCGAAAGTTTAGTCCCACATTGGAAAGGAGATGGGAAGATAGGTTGTTTATAAGTCTTCCCTTTCTCTCCTATGCTTTGAAGAAAATATGGGTTATGCTCCACACTACACACGCCGAACAGGGCTCGAGTTGGGAGGCGCGCGCCCACGACCTGCGGATAAGAATGCAGCCCCAGATTGAAGGGCCCTTAACCTGCTATATTTTGAATCTTTGTCTTTTGCTAATTGAAAGACGATATTAGTCTAAAGGAACTAACGAGACGATAGGACGAGTCAACACCCTCTGGTTGACACGAAATACGGTGTTAGTCGACAAGAATGAATGAACGAAACGACATGACGAGTCGACACGAAAGGCGGTATGAGTCGACACCTAGAGGGTTCGGAGTGGGGGCTAAGCATTAATGGGCAAGATCGGTGGATCTGGAGAGCGAGGTTGGCGGATCTAAATGATAAATAACGATTAACATAATTAATAGGCAAGAATTAAGGATCTAAACCGGTAGCTGGATGAATGCAAACAACTAGCATATTTAACATATTTAATAGGGTGTGAATGATGGATCTAAAGGGAGGAAAATATGGATCTAAACGACGGCTTCAAACCCTATAAAAGAATCTACAGCCGCAAGAGTTAATATATAGTGAAAAATCACAATAGTTCTTCATTCTCTCCTCTTCTCGAATTGCAACTTTTACTGTTATTCTTTTGCTAGTTCCTGAAAGTCACGAAGAGTTCGCAAAGCCTTCTTGAAGCTCGTGCCGACAAGAAGGATGTCGCCTAACCGAGGGTCGTCGTATCTCTGAGACCTATTGTCGCGTAGCTCTATACGAGAGGGGGCAATTAGGTTCTTGGGACAGTGCCTTGCACGCTTCGATCATCAGGTCGAATTTCTAAACTTTATTTATCTTCATTTGAATTAATTTTATTTCCGTGTTATAATTGTATTCTGCTAATAGCTGATTTTTTATTAACTGTTTAAAACTTAATTTCGTGTTAATTACAGTCTAAACATCAAATAATTTCCTAACAATCCAAGAATCTAATTGAGTTATTTAGAATAATATCATGTTTAGTATGTTTAGTATTTTGTTTCGTATTTTGTTTCTTATGTTAATGCAATATACATCTTATAAAACTGACATACTGCACTTGATTCTGTTGTTTGAATGTTTAAATCATATCTGTTGCATTATAATAACAAAAGTATTCACGTATCATCAGATTATGGCTACAAGTGAAATTATGTTGGCTAAACTAGAGAAGTTTGATGGGAATAATTTTCGTCGTTAGCAAAACCAAATGAGATTTTGGTTAACAACTCTAAATCTAACAACTGTCATAGAACCCGACAACTCATCTTCATCTAGACCAATTACTAGGCAATCTTCCTCCACAGATTCCATTCCTATCCTAAGAATACCTCAAGAGATAGAGTATGATTGTCTACAAAGAATATTAGGAACCTTATTGTAGGTGTGAATTTTTGATCTCCCGAAAACAGGGATTTTGTTTGTATTGATAAGAATAACTTATTATAAACTAATAAATCGAAAATTACAATAGAAGCGAAGGGAATGCCCTCCTTGTTTAACGTGGGGACTTTCGGTAGCTATAGGACGCTTCACTCGGTTCTCGCACCAAGTCTGCTTCCCTTGGACGATTCGACTGAGGTTGCTGGCGAGCTTCAGTACGCAGTAGAAGCACGGATTGATGGAGTTCGAGTCTCCTAGTTTGATGGTGATCAGGGGCCGAAACTGGGAGAAGATGCTGCAGTACAAAGATTACGCAAAGAGCTTGTCATCAACTCTCTTAGGAGTCGAGAGCCAGTGGTTCAGTTAACTGATTGAATTAATCAATTAGCTATGAGCGAACTGCTGAACCCCTTTTCCGAAGCCAGGAGAGGTTCTTATGAACCCCTTTTCTGAAGCCAGGAGAGGTTCTTAAATAGAGGAGAGACGGCGTGGCCGCTCCTTGAATCATGGGATATGACCATGTCTTGGGTTTGTACTGTGAGCGGCTGCTTGATGGGTTCGGAGTACTGTACTCCTTCCCTTCACGTCGTGAGGAGTGGGATGATCCCTCCTTGTACGTGGGATAGCGGCTGCCCATCACTCGAGTGGGTTTAGCCAGCTTGCCGTTTGTAGGAGGATTCAGCTCTTGACTCGTGCAGGCGAGGCGAGCTTCCCACAGGAAGATTTAGTGACTGACCGGTCACTCGTACTGTGAGCGGCTACTTGATGGGATCGGAGTACTGTACTCCTTCCCCTCACATCGTATAGGTAGTAGGAAGGCTCATCCCTGTATGCAGCATAGCGGCTGTCAAGTATTTAAGTGCCCAGTCAGCTTGCTGTTTGCGGGCGAATTCATCTCCTGTTTCTTGTAGGCGAGGTGAACTTCAATTGTGAGCGTGCAGGCGGATTTAGTGACTGCACGGACTTGACTGGTTGCTCGTACTACGAGCGGCTACTCGATGGGTTGGAGTACTATGCTCCCTCCCTTCACGTCATGGGAAGTGGGAAGGCCCATTCCTATGTGCGGCGTAGCGGCCGTCGGGTACGAACTCGACTCTTGACTTGTACAGGCGAGTCGAGTAAGCAGGCGAATTTGGATGATCTTGACTCGTGCGGGCGAGTTGATCATACCGGCGAATCCTTGATCAACAACCACGGGCGAATTCGGAGCTCGTGCGGTTTGGGTTTGCGCTAGCGAGTCTAAACCCGTAGATGAGCCCTGCCCTTAATTTGAGTGGGCGACTCTATCTCGCAGGCGAATTCATGTATAAGTTTGCGGAGGTAATTTTTACCGTCTACACTTATCTGATAGGTTATATGATATATATTACACTATCACTAATGCTAAAGTTTTGTGGGAAACATTAGAGAAAAAGTATGGTTTAGATGATATAGGAATTAAAAGATATAATGGCTCTGATTTTAACAAATTCAAAATGGTAGATTCTAAACCAATGAATGAGAAAATTCATGAATTCGAGCATATAGTTCACCAACTAAAAATGAATGGATTTATCTTAGATGAAACGTTTCAGATAACATGTCTTATAGGCAAACTTCCTGAGTCCTAGTCAGATTTTATCAAAAACCTTAACCATACCCAATGAGATCTTACCCTAGAACAAGTGTTGAATGCTATTAGAATCGAAGAGCAACATAGACTCAGGGAGAAAAATGTGACAAAATCCAAACCTAAAGAACCCAAAGTAAACAATGTAGAAACCAAATCATTTCCCGATCACAAGAAACATCCCTTCCATCAAAATAAAAATAAAACATTTAAGAAGAAATCATTTCATCAAAATAAGAACCCTGCCCACTTTCAAAAGAATGAAGGAGCTAAATGTCGAGCTTGTTTCGTTTGTGGATGAACCAACCATCTTGTAAAGGACTGCTTTTATAAGAAGATAGAACCACCCAAGTCTAGAAAGGAGGACCTCCACCTAATAAGTCACAAGTAAACATGGTGACTTCCAGTTTAGATGATACTGCTTTCAGGTCTGTTCTTTTCACTCCTGAAGTAAACATTACCTTTCAAGCAAATGATTGGTGGATTGACACTAGAGCTAATATTCACATTTGCTCTAATCAATCTTTGTTTTTCACTTATCAGGTCTCAAGTAGAGGAACTATAACAATGGAAATAATAATGTGGCTCCTGTATTTGGAATATGTCGGATCAACCTAAAGCCGACTTCGGATAAGACTTTGATCCTACAGGATGTCCATCATGTACCAAACATTAGGAGAAACTTGATTAGTGAATCTTTATTAGTGCAACAAGGCTAT